GTGTCTCTGCTTCTTCAGTTCCCAGACGGTTGTAGATACACATATTTTACAAGATTTTTCCGACATGTGATAGGTACTAGCACGTGTTTTGGTACAGAACTGGTGTGAACACATTGCAGAGTCACGAACCGAGCCAGATAAGATTCTGCCACTCCCAGCGAAGAAACCGAGAAGTTAAAATGAGCTACAGTCGCAAATTAATTCACAGTACAAAAACGAGCTTGTCACCTGCTCAAATTTAGTGTGAGAGACTTGGCACTTAAATAAACACGGGCATAGCTAAGTAAGTGGTGGATGCGTGTAAGAAATGTAGCATGACATAATTCAAAGACAACGCGAGGTGCATGACAGATGTAGTGTCTTATTCTGTTTTGAAAGATGCTAAAAATAGCGTTTACAAAAAATAAAAAAAACATTGCTAAGACTGCATGTCTCATAAGTCATTTTCCTCGGTTTTATACGACAGGAGCCAGCAGCAGGAAATTTCAGTAGTTTTAAATGCGCACTGTGTGACTTTTCTAGTGAGGAGTCTGCCTCCTGCTTGTCACCATAGAGATGTTGTTGCGTTGCCTGGAAAGTTCCACAGTATGGCATTAAAGCTTACTGACAAAATACATCCTGACATTATTTCTGTCTGATCTGTATCTAACCTGTAACTTGGCCTGGTGCATGAGGGTGAATAGGCTATGTTTAATGCCATACAGTGGAACATTCAAAGCAAAATATTAACATGAGCATGGAAACAAACAGATGGAGGTCCCTTCACCAGAAAGGTTACGTAGTGCTCCTTTTAAAAGTGGCTTGTCTGCTGAGCATTGGATAGAATCTTGCAGCAAACCAAAAGAACAGTTTTAATAAAGCCCAGAAGAGATCGCAAATTTAGTGAAACATGCAGGGATGACATCTAAAACCTCTTCAGGCATGTTTTTGATGAAGGAAAAACATTATAACATTTGATTTTGCATAATACCCCCTCTTTAATAAAACAAGAGAGGGAGAGAGAGCACAGCTACACAATGAATAACTGAAACATTTAATACAGGGGTGTCCAAACTTTTTTCATCAAGGGTCACATATCTAAACACAGACAAAGCAGAGGGTGATTGAGGGCCTTAAACTGGTGTTCATAACAGTGAATAATTGAAATATGTGCATGTTTAACACGTTAGAATGAGCCATCAGTTTTTATTTATGCTAAGATTTTTAAAACCACACACTAAATATTAAATATGAGCTTTATCAAGGTATATTAAAAAAAAAAAAAACTTGCAGTAAGAAATTAATTTTCATTGATGCAAGGTAATTTGGGCCAATTCACCTGGAAGTCTGAGGGCCAAGAAAAATTTGTCTGAGGGCCGCGTTTAGCCCCCGGGCCATAGTTTGGACATGCCTGATTTAATACATGAAAGAATTTGTACAATACAAATACATTGCAAAATTGCTTTTCACTTCTTGTACAAAAACTTAATTAGTGCAGTTGTCATTGTGTGGAATCGCATGTACTCGTGTAGTTTTAGTATGTGTTAGTCTGATTCATCAGCCAGTTTCACTTCATGGAAACTGCCTGACTTCGCAACATTAGGATTCGTTCGCTTGACGGTAGGCGGGTACTTTTTTTATTTAACCAATCGCTGCTATTTGGCTGAGACGTATGTAATGCGCCGGAACGCTCAGTGGTGTCCAAGCAATTGTCGGCGTCACAGCTCTTCGCTGATTGGCCAGTGCGCGGTCTAGAACTTCTGGGGTTCTTGCAAACTGTCTAGTGTATTCTGATTCCTGATCTAGTCGCTGGAGAAAAATGAAATTGAGTGGAGGCAGTAGGTAGTATATGTCCCTGTGTATTTATAAATGTTGTCTACAGGGCTGACTGATTTGGGGAACATCTAATTGTCTTATTGCAATTTTTCTGACAAGCATTAGAGTTTCGATTAGATTAGTAAAAATCTGCTAATGGCAATGAAGAAAGAGGAGGCCTATCAGTTTTGCTTTTGTTCAATCATGTATAGAAGACTGAACTGCGAAACAAATGAAAGAATCACATGTATTTCTGAACATGTGTGTACAGATCTAAACTACAGGGTTCACAGTTTTATGCAGAATAAGACAGGATATTTTGTTTGTTTATGGACATTATGATAGTTAAAAATGTCGGCCTTTGCGAATTACTAACCCCTTAATGCCGACTGTCACAAATATGCGACAAACCGTTTGGATCAAGAAATAGTGCTGTGTTGGTTAGTGCATGTGCAGGACCTTCCTAGAAACCTTTGGCAAGCACTTGTTTCTAGTTGTCGCAAATTTGCAACGCACTCAAATTTCTATTTATTTATTTATACTATAGTCAAATTAATAATCCCAACTTAATTTACCATCTACTTAAAGGCAAAAACACTCACAAAACATTTTTTTATATACATCTATATAAATTCAGGCGTTAAGGGGCTAAATTTCGATTCGGCTTCGATTCATCTTGCAGTCCTAGTAGCCTATATGAAATATTCTGCAGCCTGACTGAAGAACAGACGAGTGTACAAATGTGTTTTTAGAGTCCTCCCCCTCTCTCTCCTTTGACATGACAGATTCGGTTGGGTTACGTGGCGATGGCAGGCCTATGATCTTCCATTACTGCCCCTGCCTACACACACACACACACACACACACACGCACACACACACACACAAAACATACAGCGAAAGTAACGGCTCCAGAAATCATGGCAACATATGGACTGCCTGCCAAGCTGTCTCGCCTGTCACAAAATATGCTGGGGTCTTCACAAGTTACAGCCGAATGAAATATGAACATGCGGAGTCCTTGTCAAGTTTGGTAAAAGATGCTCAAAAAACACATTTCGTGACAATTAAGTCTCTTCGAAGCAATTTTACAAGTTTGACAACATATTGAGGAAGGGTGAGAGTCGAAAGGTCACAAGGATATTTTTGGAAACTTGACTGAAGAGGCATTTCACATTTTTGCATTTTACGAATAGTGATTGTAAAACATATGCCGGTATTAATTATTTACCCTTTGTAAAATACATAGACTGTAAAAAGAAGTGGACTAAGGGTCACCACACACTACAAGAGAATTTGCCTGATTTTGGCTGCAATTTGCTCCTCCCCGAGTTCAGGGAGGCGTGACCCGTCTTTTTGTCTTGTCAGTGTGTCCACCAAGCATCAGCAACGCTACGATAACAGCCAATAAAATAAAGTGTCAGGGGCAGAGGAGTGATGGACACAGAGACGCAAGATACAAACTCGGGGTGTCGCGAAAATAATGAGAAGACTTTATTACTCACGTCTCGTAAAGTGGTAAATTTAAAGCGCAGCATCTCATCCACATTGCCCATAGAAATTATTCTCCGCAAATAATGACACCCAGTCCATAAACCTGCACACTATTAATCGAGTTTGAGGCCTTGTTTGAAAGTAAAAAGGCAAGAGTAGTTCCTCGCATGTGTCTGTTTACATCCACACAGCGCACGGATCGAGGTGAAGTTGCAGATTACCGATAGTGACTCTACTTCCTGTGGACTTTATCGCCAATATTTACACTTTAAAAATTATGTGTCTGAAGTTTTGCACCACATTTCACAAATAATAACACAGTTTTGACTTCTATCTAAACTAGAAGTGCAGTGCTCTGATCTTTTGAACACTTAACAGTCTCAAAGTGAGTCATTTTACTGTAGACAGGAAACAGCTGACACGATCACTCCCACAACTTTGTATCCTGTGTTTCGCAGACATATCCCGCTGCAGTTTTTGCGATCAGAGATTTTAAGTCTCATGAGATTCTCCTTGTGTTTGTGGTTGCGCTTTTTGTCGCTCATTTAAAAATCATTTAAGACTAAAAAATCTTTAAGGTAGTGCAACGTCTCCAGTCAAATGAAGCTCACGAGGTTCTAGGAGCGAATTTGGAGCCCGTTTCATATTAGGAATTCGAACTTATTTGTACAAAAAGGCAAAATAAAAACACTAGGTTCATGCAGAGAAGTCGATGGAGCCGAAAGCGCCCCATGAACTCTTCTTATTTGAAACGCAGCAGCTACCAGGTCAGCTATAAGATAAGTATATAAAGTTTATGGTAAGAATATAAAGAAATGTTCACTTTTTAGTTATGAAACTTTTTTAGCATTTTCCGTTTGACTATTATAGCTGTTTTTGCCACTGAGAAATCCTTGATAAGTTTGTTTTTGATCAATATTCTTTACAGGTAGTACTGGTCGATGGTTTCATCTTCTGCCGATGTGTCACTGGGCAAAACACTTCACTATTTTCTTCTATATTAATTAGGGGTGGGATTAAATAAGTTTTCTTCTTCCTACTCCTTTTTGGACAAAAAAAATAAATAAATAATAGTTAATTTTTTTGTTGTTATTTTTATTTCTATTATGATTTCACTTATGTTATATGTTCCATTGTATATAAATGTAAATCTTTACTTGCCCAAAATAAATGCATAAATAAAAATCATTGAAAAAAAATTAAAAAAAAATTGTAAATATTTGATCAGAGTTGGTGGAGATTGGTTGCCTGGCAAGTTCAGAATGATATCTCTGTATATTTTTACACAAATATCAGTCTGCTCAGTGACAAATGTGAAAGAATGGAGCTCATTGGGCACAACATTTTTTCTTTCTTTTTTCCTCCCTGATTGGCTAATCCACCTGTCAATCATGCCCATCTGAAACCAGACTCACATCTTTGCAAAATAATGGAAATTCATAAGCACCTTACTACATTAAGTGAGACAAATGTGAGAAATTAATGAATAACACACTAACAAAGGGTTTATATGAATTAACTTTGAATATTTGTCTAATATTTCAACTGTGATATGAATCTCATTCTAACCTTTCATTTGATATTTGCCCAAAATGTCACTTGCGCACAGCCGTGGATATGAAGTTTAAAGAACTTCAGCTAACGCGTTATCTGATCTGAAGATATTTTTGTTTTCGCAGCTCCTGACGGCAGAAGAGGAGGAAGAATTCTCACCCTGGCGAAGTGCTCAGGATCTCGCAGAAACACGGTCCTCTCCTTGGCGATGCTGTTGCTATGGTAAAACTCCACCAGTTCATTGAGCGAGGAGAAGAGCTCGTCCCACACGTAGTACTGACCACAGCGATCCTGGAGCACCTTGAAATGCTGCACGTGGTCCCCATAACTGCAAGTAAAACACACACACACATGTATTTTTGTCAGTCAAAATTACAATGACAAATGGCACAAGTGTCTGGCAAAGGGTCTGCTTCCTGCTTGTCTCCATGGAGATGTTATTGCTTTGCTTAGAATGTTTCACACTGGCATTTAAATGATTTATTTCCATGGAGACAAGCAGGCGATGCCCCTCTCACAGTGAGAATTTGTGTTTTTGAACAATAAAAACACCCATCATGAAATAAATGTGAGATTGAATTTTGTGAAGTTGAATGAAGTTTAATGCCATACTGCGGAACAATGTTGGCCAAGTGGTGACATTTCAAAGGAGCAAGGAGTGCGGGAGTGTAACTTTTTCATCAGAAACGTTACATAGTTCACCTTTACATAGTTTTTAAAAATAAGGAATAATTCAATATTGACTTAACTTGTTATACTGAAATTGTTTCGAAATACTTTCCATCTGTATTTAGACAATCAGCCTTCCAAAGCTAATTTTTAGTTCAATAAACAGTTTTAAATCTATTTATATTTAATTAAATTTCTCAATACTAGAAACCTATAAGATCTAGAAATTTTAATTGACATGCTTTTTTCAGGTTTTGAAGATTGAACTATAACATACATCAATCTTTATTCTGTTCATGGTAAACCTCAATATTGATCCAAAATGTCCTCATACTAGAAACGGATCCACTGACCCGTTCAAAACTGCAGAACTAATAGTCCTTCTCTCTTCATAGTGACATTTTACCGCTGTTAGCAGATTTTCACTCCATTAATTTTTGAAGAATGTGACATTTTTGACCCCACAGGCCTGACCTGGAGTCTGCATTTTAAAAATAATCACAAGTAAAAGAGCAGGGGGACTACAGGTGTAAATGCACATCCATGCTTTAACCTCGCACCAGCTTCTTTCTTATGACTTCTGTCTTAGTTAGTGTTTTATTGTGCACTGTCCCTGTACAGATAAAAAGCAGACCGTACTATATCAGTGGGTGGAGATAGTGGGCAGGTGAAAACAGACATTTTCTGAGCCCCAAATGCAAAGCAAGGCCGGATTACACAAACATGCATAAACCAGTAAAGTAAATTTCTTATGAACTTTTTCAGAGACTCTACAAAAAATATATCTATATTAAAAGTTTGAATGATTGCTCGGGCATAATTAGCTATGTGGTGACGAATGAGCACAAGACCTATAATTTTATTTAAAATCTGTTTCTGACACGTTATAAACGTCAGTTATTAAAACATTTCACAGGATCTTGCATTTTAAATGTGCTATGTGGATACAGATATTAGTCACCACAGAGCTGGTTAGCCTCAGCGATGCCTTTGAACTCTTAACATTTGAATTTTTTGAAAAGTCTATGAGTCTAAAACTCTATGGAAAAAGTTCTTCCAGTACCAGAGCAGACTTCAAAGTGGGCGGGACTGTTGAACTGCATTGAAATATTGCATAACTAATACCTGTGGAATGCTCTGCCCCCCCATGTCCGAACAGCCCCACAGTGGAGAGTTTTAAGTCTCATCTTAAAACCAGCTTTTATTGTCTGGTTTTTAACACTGGCTGAGTTGTGTGGTCCTTTGTATATTTTATTTATTTTACTTATTTACTGCTATTTCATTTTGATTTTACTGGTTTTATTGTTTTAGGACTGGTATGACCAAATTTTTGCAATTTACTGTATTCTTCAGACTATAAGTTGCACCGGACTATAAGTCGCAATTTTTGGGGGAAATTTATTTTATAAAATCAGAGACCAGGAACCGACATTTTATCTTGAAAGGGAAGTTATAGTAACAACAGACTGTTAACATCACCTATGAACAGTTCTTCAGATAGCTATAGCATAAACAACACAACAAGTCTACTAAACTCTCCATCTCGCTCCAAATCACTAAATCCATTGAATCCTTCATCCTCAGTGTCACTTCTGAGCAACTCCACGACCTCCGGAGGTAAATGGCGCGCCGCTTCCTCTTTTGTGTAGCTGTCGTCAGACTCATCATCAGTTCCAGTTAGAATTATTCCGGCCTTTCTGAATCCCGACAGGATGGTTTCAGTTGTTATTGAAGTCCAGGCCATTTGGATCAACAATTGACTTCCAGGAAAGTTGCATGACGCACACTCCCAGTTACCGTGAAGCTGTGTTCTCCATCCTCGCTTTCCGCCAGCCCTTCACAAGTTTCTCGCTCACTCCAAACTTTCTTTCTGCTGCTCGATTACCGTTTTCGGCTGCATATTTCACCACTTGCAGCAGGACAGCATCGTTTTATGCAGGAGACATGAGCAGTAGGGCCTGAAGTGACAGTGGTACAGGAGTAATAGGAGTAGCAGATTTTGGCACACAAGCCTAGAGCCTCTCACAGCTGTCAGTGTGAAAACTTTAATGTATAAGTCGGACCGGAGTATAAGTCGCAGGACCACCCAAACCATGAAAAAAAGTGCAACTTATAGTCCGAAAAATACATACAAATACATTTTGTTGCCTTAATTTTATGATCTCTGTACAACTGTTTTGTTTGTAAAATGTGCAAAATGTGGATTTGGATTTGAAATATACACTAATAATGAGCCAACTAACGATGAGGGGACACCATTACATCATGTCTAAAAGCTCAGGTAATTTTTACGGCTGGCTTCATAATCTGAATTTATAGTTTGCATATAGGTCCCTCATGAACTCTACCATTGTCTGAAAGCAATTCTCATTTTGATTTTACCAGTCAAGTGGGTGCCTTATCATATTGCAGAGATTGAGAGCACCAGTATCGGCTCCCCATCTTTTCGGCTATTAATCAGATGAAGACGCATCCAAGTGCTTGAAAAATAATTGAGTCATCTCCCAAAATAGCTTGGAGAGTCATTACAGCGTTGCCGTAGCGCGCATCTTGTTTTGGTGATTAAAAGAGTTTGGCCGCCTCCCGTTGGCAACCACTCACCTATCCTGCTGTGCGGCGGTTGCTAAGTAACGCGTCGCCGCCGGGTTATGCTTAGAAAACTGGACATATCGCCACAATCTCACCATTATATAACCACATCCAATATTCAGCGGAAGTCCATGCAACGCCCCCGTGGTTCTAAAAGCATTGCAGAGTAGGTGTGCAACTGACTGGGAACGTAGGTTGATTCATAGTGTTCAAGTTTAGAGGCCACAAAAACGAAACGCGATGCTAAATAAAACTCAGCATCGCTCCAGGATAAGAGTGTGAGGTCGGGGTTAATAATATATTAATCATACATACACAAGGACATAATGACATAATGCTATCCTCTGGTTAGGGGGCGAGCACTCAACCCACTGTGCCACTGCCAAGCTTAATATTATCTTACTAGTATAATTTAGATTTAGGTCGTAAAAGTAAAATGCTAAAAGTTAACAGACAATGACTAGGAATATGCATAGAGTTAAAACTGTAGCAAAAATAAACACGTTCTAATGCGCTATCTTCTGGTTGGGGGGCAAACACTCGACCCACTGTGTCACATAACGTAAAAACACGGAATATTATCTGTAGTTTAGAGTTAAGGCAGATGCTAAAATTTAAGATGATATAATTAAAAACGATAAATAAGAATATGTATGAGGTTAACACTAAATAAAATAAACAAATTTGAAAAATGTTTTTAATTTCTAATACATTTTTCTTTTTGGTTTGCAACTGCCCACAGCAAACTTTTTAATTAATTTTTTTTTTTTTTTTTTTTTTCAACAAAATGTGGATTAGTTTTTATATCATATGCCTTTCGTACTCTAGCAATCATTCATGCACAAGGACATTATGACAGTATGTGCTACCCTCTGGTTAGGAGACAAACACTAAACCCACTGTGCCCCTGCCAAGCTTAATATTATCTACTAATCACAATTAAAAGTATTTATATTTTCATATTCCAGGTATTCCTCATAAAACATGTTTGTGATGTGAGGCCATTGCATTTTTTGGTAGCACTTTATAATAACTACACCTTATTTAGCCTTAATAAAGCATGAATAAAGACTTAATTAATAATGAACAAAGACTTAATTAACAATGATTCATGCTTAGTAAATGCTTAATTAAAGCATAATTTGTCTTCACTTTATAAAAGCTCTCAGAAAGACTTAACTAACAGATAACAGCTGCCTGAATTATCATTGCATTGCATTATTAGTAAATCATTCTCTCATAGCTTACTAATGATTAATAAATGCTCAAATGTTTAGTGCATGAGTAATTAAGTATGAAATAATTAGGAGTAACTATTTACAGCACAGGCAAATTAAGTGCAAGTGCTAATTAAGGTAATAATTAAGTAGTTACTAAGCGTGAATCATTATTAATTAAGTCTTTGTTCATTATTAATTAAGCCTTTGTTTATGCTTTATTAAGGCTAAATAAGGTGTAGTTATTATAAAGTGTTACCCTTTTTTTTTTTTTTTTTTTTTTTTTTTCCATACTTTTTAAGAATTTGCAGCTTTTTGTCACTACCCCACTCTTCCTTAAGTGGGGTCAAAAATGACCCCAAACATTTCCTATGAAAACTTAAGGGTTATACCTATGAACTTTTGATTCTTCTCAACTCTGACTGTCAGTTTACATTTACTGTGACACTTACACATCTGAACCCAGCAGTGTCACCAGCCAGGAACTCACTTTTACACAGAAACATACATGTACAGTAAGTATTATCGCCATTTATGATCTTCATTTCCACATTCATGACTTTTCTGTGATAGAGTATTAGTATTATTGTATTATTATATATTATATAAGCTGATATCATTAAAAATGATAAATAAGAATATATATGGGAGTAACACTATAGCAAAAATAAACTAATTCTAAAAAAAAATGTTTTTAATTTCTAATACACTTTTTCTTTTTGGTTTAAAACTGCCCACAGCAAACATTTTTATTTATTTTTTATTTTTCAACAAAATGTGGATTACTTTTTATATCAGATGCCCTTCAAACTCTCACAATCATTCATGCACAAGGACATTATGACAGTATGTG